ATTTCTAAGGTGATAGAGAATCGGTTTAAAGTAGTACTTTCAGATGTTATTAGGAGTTCCTAGTCGGCTTTTGTCCCGGGTCGAAGGATTTCTGATAATATTTTGCTGACTCAAGAGCTTTTGTGGAATTATCATCTTGGGGGTACTTCACCTCGATGTGCCCTTAAAGTTGATATTCGAAAAGCTTTTGATACTGTAAGTTGGGATTTCATCCTTTTGGGACTGCGTATTGTCGGGTTTCTTAAGCGTATGGTGAAGTGGATCATGAGATGTATCTCTACACCGTATTTCTCTGCTGCTTTGAACGACGAGCTTTACGATTTTTTTAGGTCCTCCCAGGGTGTTCAGTAGGGGGACCCACTTTCTCCTTACCTATTTGTGTTGGCTATGGAGGGGTTAACTAGTATCTTTCGGGAAACCTCTCACAGCCCTGGTTTTCATTATCATTGGAGGTGTAGGCAAGTAGTTATTACTCATTTATGTTTTGCGGATGATTTGATGGTGTTTTGTCTAGCAGATGCTTCCTTTGTTAGCCTGATCAAATCGGCCCTAGAATATTTTGCCAAGGTTTTTGGGTTGGTGACTAATGTAGAGAAGAGCCAGTTGTTTCTTTCTAAGGTTACAGATGAGGAACAGATTGGGTTATAGTCTATCATGGGTTTTCAGTCGGGCCAGTTACCAGTCAGATATCTAGAGGTTCCTCTGATCTCTACCAGGCTTTGAGATTCTGATTGTAGGCCTCTGTTAGAGCGAATTTTATCTCGGATTAGGCTATGGATGTCGGCATCTTTGACCTATGCAGGCCGACTACAACTGATCAAGTCGGTGCTCTTCTCCATACAGGTATATTGGCTATCCATGTTTCTTTTGCCAGTAGCTATAGTTAGATGGATTGAGAGTATTTTGGCATCATTTCTTTGGAGGGGTACTTCTTTGTCCTCTTTTGGTGCCAAGGTTGCATGGTCTTCTGTTTGCTATCCATTGAGAGAGGGTGGGCTGGGGATTAAGAGGATCCAAGATTGGAATAGAGCGGCTATTCTTAAACACGTGTGGAGACTACTTAATGATAGGTCTTTTTTATGGTCCTCTTGGGCCCGTTTGGTTTTCTTCCTCGGTTAATCCTTTTGCATATTCGAGTTAAGTCTGGGGCTTCAAGGGCTTGAAGGAAGATTTTACTTAGCAGGGGTTGGGGTCGGGATCTTATTGTGACTTGTATCAGTGATGGTAGGGACACTATAATATGGCGAGATTACAGGCTGCGGTAGGGACCTTTGTGTGACTTACTTCCTTTTAGAACTTTGACTTCCACTAGTTTTTCATGGGATGCTCGGGTTTTAGACATTATTTGAGATGGTTTGTGGGATTTTCCTTTGGCCAGTGCCGACCTTCAGCATATATGGGACTCCATTACAGTGCAGCCTTCAGCGAGTCTTCCTGATCATCTTGTGTGGAAGGGCCACCAATCTGGGCATTTCTCTATTGATTCAGCCTGGAATGTGTTGCGAGACAAACAGGATGTGAACTCGATTCATCATCTCTTGTGGTTTCTAGGGCATATTCCACGCCACTCTTTCATTCTCTGGCTCGCTTCTCTTGTTTGGCTTCACACCATGAATCGGCTCAGCTCTCATGGTGTCATTACGTCCTCCCTGTGTGTTTTGTGTAGTTCAACTATAGAGACCCATGACCATTTGTTTTTCAGCTGTGACTTCTTAAGTTATGTTTGGCAGGAGGTCACTACTAGCATGCTCACTACATGGCCTACTCTCTCTTGGCTCCCTCTACTCTAGTGGGCTAGCTTGCATCTTAGACACAAAGGTGACTTTAGACACCTTCTTTCGCGGTTGGTCCTCTCAGCCACTATTTATTTCCTATGGTTTGAACGGAATAATAGAGTGTTTCGTCAACACTGTAGCTCTCGCAGAGATACTGTTTTAGCTATTTGTGATCTAGTCCAGGCCAAGATTTTGGGTTTAGCATCTAAGTACGAGATCTCGACCCAGCTCCGTGCGATATGGCATCTTCCTGTTTAGCTTTGCATGGCGCCTGCGTGCTCTTTTATGCCGGTTTGTGGCTTTGTGATTTATGACATCTTCTTGTTTTGTTTTGTGGGGAGCCTGCGTGCTCTTTTTATGCCGTTTGTGGCTTTGTGGGTTTTCCCATGTGTTTTTTTTGATTGAGAATTATTAGTCATCCTCTTGGGGTATGCCCCTCGCTTTTGTACTTTTTTTGTCTCTTCTATAAATACTTACCTTTTCCAAAAAAAGGTTTAGGGTTTAGTGTTAGGAAACGGTCCATGTACGTAGCGGAAAAACAAAAGAACATAATACAAGGATCGTTCCCAAAGAGCCAAGATCAAAGGTACAATTTTACAGTTTATGTTAAAATACAAATCTGCAGAAATTAATTATGAGTTTAGAAAAACATACGCACATTTGAAGGCTCCTCCAAAGTTGTTAATGAACGTTTTTGCTACCGACCCAAGTGTAGGATCGAACCCACGTAGTCCACATGAAGAACTAATGAGGGATTTGCTAGATCCTCCTTAGCTTTAAGATTAAAGAAGAAAAATCAAAATGAATTGATTTTGGGAAAAATGGAATATTGCCGTGGGAAAGGAAATATGGGGTTGTGTGTTTTCTTTTCAAAGAGAAATGAGTGTAATGAAAAACTAACTTATTTTACAAAGAAACATTTTTCTTTTATAGTAAATTAAGTTGCCTTATTCCTATATGGAATAGGCTTGGGCTCCAACCCAAACACCTCATGTTACCAAACACTCCCAATTAGATATTTTATTTTTTATTTCATCATTATCTCAATTAAAATCAATTGATATATATTTAATCTATATACATAAATCTATATATATATTAACATTTAACAATAATGATGATTTAATTAAATATATGCGAACACATATTTAAACGTAATTTCACTTATTTAATTTTTCTAATAAATTAAATAAAGGCTATGACCTCAGCAAATTTAATTGCACTGTGCAAATTACCAAAATACCCTTTTGCCTAAAAAGACGAAAACACCATTCTTTCTTCTTGAGTCTTAACTTATCTTCTATGTGTATGACCCATAGGCTCCTCATCATACCAGCAGTGTATAGTATCGCGATTAACACCAATTAATCGTCTCACTGATACACAGACCAAGATTGGCCCCTAGCAAGGCATTATGGCCACCCGATAGATTCGGATTCAACAAAGCAGCTACCTGTCAACGATATGGTTTACCGTACAATTCAATCCTTTCATCATATGTTATCTCGACGAGACGAAGGCATAGAAATAGTGTCAACCTTCGGTTATGCTTATTATGTATTCAGTTTCTGACCAATGACCTGTATTATAATCCGGATAGAGCAACAACTCAATCCCACTGTGGCCACAGTTTTAGTGTCATCGCCATATACTGAATTGCATCGTGAGATAAATTCTCCCGTACCCAGGAGTGATGAATCCGCTGTCTATCCACCATAGTTTTGATACACTCCTCGATGTAGCCAATCACCATCGTATTGACAGCTTTGAATAGAACTGCATTAGGCTAGTGTCAAACTGCACCAATCGGTGCACAAGACGCTCCAATGATCTCAAGTCTAAGGATCACATGCACCACCATTCGTTAGAGGATTTGTTCCATAGACACTGGGGTTACCATTCGTATGGAATCCTCTGGTGGGTCAGTTTAGTGAACTTGCTGTCGTGTATTCACCTACAGCAAGCTCCCATGTGTTGCACCAGGTTGTCACCAAACAACGTCAACAAGTGAGATCAGTCACTGCCTTTTGACAGGGTCGTTCAACACTATGATAGCCTTACCGTATTATCTATGCCCTTAATTCAAAATAATACTGGGGCTACGGACGTTTCTAGAATGGCCACTATATGTGCTCATAGGGTTCTCACTATCAAGATTTGAAACACTTGATACCCTCGTCACAGTTCTACCATTCTAAGGACATCTATCAATACATATTGCAATAATAATGATTTACGCGATATAGAATAAAATGCCTTTTATTGATTAATGAACATTATTACAAAGAGTCAATTCTACAATAATTGATTGACTCTAGGGCATCCACTCTAGCATTTGGGCTTTAGGGTTTAGGGTTTAGGGTTTAGGGCTTTGGGGTTAAGGTTTTGGGTTTGGGTTTGGGTTTGGGAGTTAGGGTTCAGGGTTTCGGGTTCAGGGTTTAGGGTTCAAGGTTTAGGGTTTCAAGTTTAGGGTTTCGAGTCTAGGGTCTAGGTTTAGGGTTTTAGGGTTTAGGGTTTTAGGGTTTAGGGTTTAGGTTAGGGTTTAGGGTTTTAGGTTTTGGGTTTTTGGGTTTTGGGTTTTAGGGTTTAGGGTTTAGGATTTAGGGTTTTAGGGTTTAGGGTTTAGGGTTTTTAGGGTTTAGGGTTTAGGGTGATTTATGGAGCATTTGGCCTCCTTTTCAGAATCTAGGAGAGGTCGCGGCTCAACAAGCCCGCCTTGGTGGGTACCACTGTAGTAGTACTATTCACTTCCGTCTTATTCCAGTTTAAGGGTATCTCGGCTGGAAACCAGTAACTGCCTTAAAAACTGCCTGGCAGTATTTGGCAACCTTTGGTATAACAATGCCATGTACACCTTGAACACCGCCGCATATATGGTATCAGAGCCATATGCCATGAAGCCTATGAATAATTGTAGGCAAGGTATTATACTGCTTTGTATAATTACAATTGGATTGAGTCATATGGTATCGGAAAATCTTGTCACCAAGACTATGTGTCTAAGGTGGCTGGTATTTAAGATGGTCATTTGTGCCGCACCAGACTGCCTGGAGATCTTTCCGATATTTTTATGAAACTCTTGTTGTCTTTATATAAACGTTACAGTATTTTACCTTCTGTGCCCAAGCCACAGCTAATATGGTCCAATAATCTTTATGCTCTGTGAATTATTTTAGCTATTTTTACTAGTGTATTTTATTTCAGAACTAATGCAATCCCATCCTCATGAGTAAACAAATCTCTAAACCTGTACTTTCTCATTCCTCTTCCTTTTTTTCTCCCATAAATTCTAGTTCTTCCAGTTCTTCGACTACTTTACTTCGTATTGACCTCAAAGATAGAGTTGAGTCTTTGTATGAACTTTCATATATTCCTGAAGGAGATTCTACCCCGCTGGATAATCTTCTTATACCCTCTCCTTACAAGAAACCCTCTCAACCTGGTACCACTAAATTACGTACCTTGGTCAAACCCCCCAAATATCACACCAAAGAATATGTGTATAGCTCCCGTTTTGATCAGCATGGTAACCCAGGTCTTAATCCCTACTACCAAAAAGCTCTTAAACAAATATCTCACTCACAAACTACCACATTTGCTGCTGCTCCTTGTGCTATGTATACAAGCAGCCCCGGTCCATCTCTAACCATGGTACCACCAAGTTTGACTTCTCTAGAGGCTTTCCCTCATCTCACCCCTTTTACTACAGACCATACGAGTCACTCTTGGAAAATCAAGGATCCCTCCCATATTGATCCTCTTGGCAATTCCAAGAAGCCTTCTCCTGCTAAAACCGTCCTCAATTGGCAATCTCAGAATGCTGTAGCTCAAAATGCTTGTCTTTAGCACATTGAAGCTCATGTAGCCATTAAACTCCAAACTCATGAAGAATGTCTTTCTGATTTACGTGGACGCATTGAATCTCTCCACAAAGAGATTCTTTCTTTTATACGCTACAGACAAGATTTCTCCCATCAGGAACAGGAAATTAAGTTTCTCAAGAATCAGTTGTATCTTATCGAACATACACCACCGCCACCTCCAATCCAAGCTCCCTCTTCCTCTTTATGGTCCTTACCCCCAGTTGGACCTTTCTCTGTTTTCCATAACCCCAAGGTTACCCAACGTTTACAAAGTTCTCCCTTATTTTCTCAACAGCAACACTCTTATCCCTCTGTTTTTTCCCAACTATCAAAACCTACCCAACCATGGAAATCACCACCCACTCCTACTGCCCCTGCTCCACACATGTCTTCCCCTTTACCACCTCCATCTGCTCAGCCCCCTTCTGCCTCTCCCTTAAAACCCTCTAAATCCTCAGATACCCCTTCTTCCTCGTATCCTCCACCACCATCTCAGTTTATGATGTCTTCTTCACCCTCTTCAAATCCTATTACCGAATTCCTTACTCACCATACTGCTACCGAACACACTCCCATCTCGGATTTACCCATCCACTATGCTACCCTTGGAGCCTCTTCTGATGCCGATGATTCTGACACTTTTAGTGAATCCTCTTCTACTGATTCTGATGCTCTTGTTATCTTCATGAATCAATTTCATGAAACTCCTCCTGATCCTGATCCTGATCCTGATCCTGAACCCAATGTTGAAGAACCACCTGTCTTCATGGATACACCTCTTCCGCCTACGGGTCCTCCTAGTGTTTATAACCAAGCCTATTATGTTCCTCCCTCTTCTGGGCCTTGGTTCAATTTGGATCCCCATCATCCTTCAAAGTGGCGTGAAAAGATCCATGAAATTTATACTTGGGGCCAAACTGAACTTATAAAACCCAATGCTACCCTTCTCCGGGTCATTGAAGCTATTGTTGCTCGTTTTATGGGCATACTCCGTCAATGGTGGTATAATCTTGGTTAGTTTCGCCAACTCCAAGTTGTCCAAGTCACTACTCAGGAACAGTTTGCTGGGTTTTTGGTTCAAGAATTCATTGGTAATAACCGAAATCATCAAGACTTATTACGAGAAGAATTCTTTAAGCTTAAGTGCTATTCTTTTAAGCTTAAGGATTTACAAACTCATTTCAGACGAGCCTCTCTCCGATTTTATGAAATTGGTGGGCTTGATGACCCCAATCTTAAGCAGGCCTATTTAAGTTCTATTCCTGAGTCCTTATCCCAAGAAAATCAACGCCTACTGGAACAACAAGGTCATACTTTGGCCTCTATCACATTTGGCCATCTGGGCCAACTCATTGAAAAGGCACTTCAGGGGCTCTGCAACAAATGGGCATTCATTCAACATTTTCAACAAACCGGCTGTACTATTGAAAAATCCTGTTATTGGCCAGATCTTCTCCTCAAATGCCCCACTAAGAATCGTTAGGGGGATTGAGTAGGGTATTGTCCTTACATACAATTGATACTATTTATCTATTTATACTATTATTAGATTGCACGAGACTTACCTCCCCCCCGAGGGTTACCTTTCCCTTCTGCTTCACCACCCCAAGGTGTATGGAGCTTTTTCGTAAAATTTATTTGTTGTGAGTTAGAGTTTAGCCCTTAAGCGCAAGCCTATCTGAGCAAAGTAGACGTGAACGCTGTTTTTGCTTATTAGTCTAGTCCCCGCCGCTTCTCGACGTGGCTGTCATCACTGGTCTGCCCCTGGACGCTCTCTTGATTTCTCCAAACACGCGCTTTGCCGAGGATGACTTTCGCACTCCCTCTAATTCTTATGCCAAGACTGGATATACCGAATAGATTGCAACCGCGGAGCTTACCATGGCCGTTATGGCTTTCGCGAAGCACGAGGATTTTAACACGCTATTGGCTGCCAGCAAAGAGCTGAGTGATCGCCTAGTACAACTGGCGGTGGACTCTATAAAGGTGCTCCATGACAAGATGCTGGCTCCAGAGGCGGAGTCTCTGTTGGCTGATGCGGGCGGGCGCTGTCTCCTTCATTACAGGTTATTGGGATGGATTAATGGCTCAACTGGACACTGATACGGAGGGCAAGGGATCAAGCTTACTGCTAGTTCTTAGGTTAGGAAATCACTCTCGGCTTTCTAAGATAAGATCTAACTAGAAAGACATCTTGGGCTAGATTGGCTAACCCTTGCGAATTGGTGATGACTAATGAGTGAATTCAGCCACACGCTTATGGATGAATGGTAGGTGAATCACCATACATAGATAAGTAGACGAAGCCGACTTCCCCTAATTGATAGATGTAATAGTTCCACGAATTAGTAACGGAAGAAGAGTGGAACACCCAGCTAAACCGTAGTGTGCAACGTCTTATAGCCAAGTGTAGGATCCAGATCCACCAGATGAGACTTTTTCAAAAGAGGGACTTAGCGGCAAGAACTCTTTTTTCCATGAGCTTTGGCTGCTTTAGGTCATTAGTGTCTCGTCAACTGGATGGGATATTCCACCTTAGGGCCTTGAAGTGGAAGAAGCCCCGGCTGACTAAGCCAATGAAGAGAGAATCAGGCAGCGTACTGAAATAGGATGTGAAGAAAGCCTTACCCAGGATCTTTCAAAATCTTTTAGAAAGCTAGCGCCATCTATCTATCAGCAAAACCTCCCTTTTTTGATCCGCGTAGCCGACCCAAGATCGGCAGGACAAATAACTACTAGGTTTGTGCCAGAAAAGCGTCTTGCGTGACGATCAATGGAAAGAGTTTAAAAAGAAAGAGATTCATCAGCTATGGAATCTGACAGGTATCGGTATTGAACAGAGGGGGCAGTTCATATACCTTAAGGCTTCTTCACCCGTCGAAAGAAAGATCGCAGCAACTTGTATGTCCACTCTAATTCAAAAGCATGAAATCCTTATATCAGGAAATGCAAATCCAAATTCAAAGACATAAATCACGGATTTTCTCTATCTAAGATGGAGTCTACAACATGCACTTACTTAGTTAAGGGGTTAAGTATTGCAAAAGAAAGGGCCTGCTGATAGAGCTGGGCGGGGAGGCGATACTAGTTATCAGGTCAGAGAGACGCCTGGCCCGTAAGCTGGCCCCCTTAAAAACCCATTACTTAATAAGGATTTGTTAAGCGCGATATGCCGACGACTCACTACTGGGAATCGTGGGTGCCGTAGAGCTTATCATAGAAATACAAAAACGTATCGCCCCATAAAAAAGAAAAAACATTTCAGAAAAGTGAAGACTTTCCCGCAAAACAATACCCCTTTTCCCAAATCTTATCATAAGAACAAAAAGACTTATTTCCGTAAAAAGAAACGACATTTTTTCCAGAAAAAGAACCGTGGCTTTCCCAAAACTCGAAGATGTTTCTTCTGTAAACAGCCAGGCCATTTTGCCAAACATTGTCCAAAGAAACCTAAGCATGCAAAACAACTTCTTGCCCGTGACCCTGCTCTTAAAAACCACGACCTTGAAAGCCTTTATTATGAAACTGAAGAACAGATGCCTTCCACGATTTTTGCTGTGGACATTTTGACTTCTTCAGATATAGACAGTTCTTCTTTTACAGATTATTCCAGTACTGGTTCTTTATTTGGCTACTTTCCCATGAACCTTTCAGTCTAGGTCCCTATAGTTGAACTCACCTTGTACCTCCACTCAAAATATGACAAACCCATAAAAGTCATGGCTCTTTTTTATACTGGTGCAACTTCCACCATCTTAAATCCTGATGTTCTCCCGCCATCATTTTGGCACCCTCACATTCGGTGGTTCACGACAGCCAATGGCAAACATTTCTCCACCAATCTCATCAGCAAACCCATACATATCCAGTTCTTTCCCAATTTAATTCTCACCCATGAATGCCTTGGTTCTTACCATCCAGGAAAGGACATGGTTATTGGTTGGGACCTTCTCAACCAACTTCTTAAAGCCAAATTCACTTTTACCCCCCAAGGCCTCAAACACAAATCTTATTTCCAACCTTACAAACACTCCCAGAATTACTTCACCATTTTACAACCCACTATCCCAGACAGTGACATTACTCAGCAACTAATCACTGAATGTTCTGCTCAGTCTCATACTGAGTTTCCCACCAAATGTTCTCACCCTTCATGGCTAAACCCTGAGTTTTATGTCAATCTTCCTTTCAAGAAAAATGAGGACATCAACCCTACAAAGGCCACTCATCCTGGCATAAATCCTGAACATTTAGCCTTGGCCCAACTAGAAAAAGAAAAATTGATTGAACCAACCCAATCCCTATGGGCTTGTCAGGCCTTCTATGTTAATAAACGAGCTGAACAGGTTAGAGGAAAACTTCGTCTTGTTATCAACTACGAACCATTAAATTGGTTTCTTGTGGATATTAAGTTTCCTCTACCCAGAAAAAATTTCCTCTTTGGCTATCTTACCAATGCCAAAGTCTTCTCAAAGTTTGATCTGAAAGCTGGTTTCTGGCAGCTTGGACTCCATCCTGCAGACAGAGAGAAAACTGGGTTTTGTATTCCAAACCTTCACTATCATTGGACCGTCCTTCCTTTTGGGCTTAAAACCGCTCCATCCATTTTCCAAAAGGCCATGATCCGCATCTTCCAACCCATCCTAAAGCAGGCCCTTGTCTATATAGATGATATCTTGTTATATTCTCTAGATCATTCCAGTCAGCTCGCCCTACTACATCAGTTTTACTCCCTTCTTAAGAAATATGGAGTCATGCTCTCTGAAAAGAAAATGGTCCTCAACATTACTGAAATCAACTTCCTTGGTATGCATATATCCAATGGCCAATACCAACTCCAACCACATATTGGCCAAGAACTTCTGAAGTTCCCTGACACCCACCTTTCTCTCACGGAAGTCTAACAATTTCTCAAGATTGTCACATATATGGCCGCTTTCATCAAAAAGTTGTCCCCTTTGGTTCGGCCCTGTAACATCTACTGAAAACTGTACAAAGCATGCATAATAACAATAGAAAAGTTGGGCCCAAAGTTTTNACCAAAGGCCCATATGATGGGGCAAACTTGTATTCTGGCCTAACCCATTTGGGCTTTGGTTAAAGTCTTTGTAGTATTTCTTCATCTTTTTATTAGGAGGCCCAAGAAGCCCACCCAAAGAATTGAAATGCCTAGATGGGATTATAGAATTTAGCACATCCAAATTCATTTATTGTGGTTCTATTGGCACCCTACCATCAAACTAAACACACAATATTTTTTTAATATCCTTTTATTAAATTACCATATTAAATTTAATTTATTTTTCATGATCAATACTTTTTAAAATTGAAGGAATCGGAACCGAAATCGGAACTGGCCGGTTCTTTCAATTTGGAACCAAAACTGGAACCGGAACCGACGGTTCTCGTTCAAGTTCCGGATGCTTGAAAAAATTATATTTTACCCCCTATCAGTTTAAAAATGACAAAAAAACCCTTAAAATTACAAATACCCCCACCTAGCAACTAAGAAATCTTTATTTGCCTCCTTTTTTTTTTTTTCTCTTAACAACATCTAAGAAATCGTGAGAATACATGGAAGTATTAATTATTTCCTATGGTATTGGAATGGAAAATGCTACACAACCTATTCTCACAACTTCAACATGGCAGCTCGTTATTGGTTAGCTCGCAAATGGGCAGGCGAGACCCATACAAGCAGGCATAACCTATTTTGCCTGTTAACTATTGACGAGCTGCCACGTTGGAGTTGTGAAAAAAAAGTTTGTGAGAGAAAGTTATAAGTGTAGCATTACTCCATTGGAATAGGCATGAGTAGATGAAATATCTCTCTTATATATCAAAATTAGAGTAAATGAAAAAAGGTTTCTAACACTTATCTATACTCCCTCCTTACTTTTGAAGCACTATTCATACACTACTTTCAGATGGTGTGGTTTAGGTGGTCCTAAACCATGATTATGATTATAAAGAAGCATAATAATATTAGTTTGTTATGTCTGCCAACTTCATCTTGAT